GTTGCGAGCTTTTGTGTTGTACGGGGTGCCTAGCTATCTGGGGCTCGATCATGAATCCTTTTCTCTGGCGTGAACTCGTGGAAAGCGAAAAATTTCATTAACGAATTCAATATTTGTCGATGAAAATTTTCACTTTTCACGAGTTCACGTTTTTGAGGAAAAGATTCATGATTAAGAACCTGAAGTTGCACGCGGATCGAGGCATTTTTTAAAAGCGTGCGACTTTCTAACTTTTTGTGCATCAGGACTATGGAAACAACGAATCAGCATTGCCGGTTTCAATGCTCAGCCTTAGACAAAATTAATAGGCTTTCTAATCATTATGCTGTATTGAATCTAATTCTAGGAAGATTTCTATTGTTCAAAAGTTGTTTACCAGTGCGTTCATTGCTTCTATACAGTAAACAATTTTTAAACAATAAAAATCTTTCCTGGTAATAGACTCACAGTCAGTACAATATTATGATTGTAAGGGTTCCTAATAATTTGTCTAAGGTTGTAATAATATAATATATAGATATATAATTGTTAATTTACTATTAATTTGAGAAACATAAAGAGAGAGAAATAATGTTGGAGGCGTTTTACGCGCCACTTTGCGAGAAGGCTCGAGCATGTAATGACGTCGACCGTTATTCCTTACGAGGGGTGGAGTCAATAACGAACTCCAGTCTCACGATCTCGGGATATGTTTGCGTATTATCTGCGCGCGCGGTAATACGTTTATGCAATTTCGCACTTGCGACTGCAGACACGGCCGCGCGCGCCGAGGGGCGACGAGGGGATCCCGCGCCTCGGACCCGAGCGATATGCAAATTTCAGTAGTAACCCTTAAACTTTACGCCCTGACCTAGATGCTCACCTGTCTGGAGAGCAGGGAGATGTCTTGCGATTATGCGCGATTTACCATGTCGCCTGTACAGTTGCAAACGTGAGATCCTCGTGGTTAACGCCTAAGGGAGGATCATTAACCGTTCTCGTTATTCGTATCCTTCTTTCGCGATTAATTGCAACTGCGAGAACGTGAATCCGTAAAATAACCATCTCTGAGGACAGCAATTAATTAATTTTAATATCGCTAAATTTTGGTTTAATTACATTTGGTATAAATTAATTAAAGTAAGAAAGTATTAAAAATACGATCAGAAATATAGAAAGTGTATAAAATAAGAAAACTTCTCGGCTTTTGTTTGGCATTGTTAAACAAATTAGATGGTGCGAGATTCACAATCAGAAATTTATCAATTTCTTTTATAGAAAATATATTGTAGGATAGGAACCGAGAAATCAAGAGTGCGAAGCGAGAGAGATGTTCTGGTACAGGCGATAGCATTCGAATTTATTTTGTGCTTTCCTCAACTGTACACTACATATGTATATTTTCTCGAGATGCTAGCTTCGCTTGGAGCGAGCCAATCAGGTTGGGATTATACCCAAAGTAAATTCACGCACGCATCGTTTGTTTCGGTATTTATATTCGTCACCTAGCCGTTAATCTGTGGCGAATCCCTTACGCAAGAAACACTCAAGTTTTGAGCGTTAACACTCGATTGTCCGAATTTACTCTCAAATTTGGGTGTCAATATTTAAATCTGGGTGTTTACGCCCAAATGTGAGAGTAGATTCGGACAACCCAGTGTTAACACTCAAAACTTGAGTGTTTTTTCCGTAAGGGATAGACCGCTCCACGTGAGTCTCGCATGACTCATAACGTTTAGGACGGAATCGAGACAAATAAGCGAGTGATCCCACCGAGAAACCGTTCGCTTACAATATTCAGTAAATTTGGTAATTTGAAGATCGAATACTCATAAATTTCCCAGGTAAATTAGATATATTAAATAAATTAGATGGCTCGGGGATCGGATATCCCTACTTATAAATCTCTTTCGTTCAAAATACATTGAAGAAAGTGAACGACCCGAGGTTCAGATATTCATAAATCTCTCTCATTCAAAATGTAATAGCAAATTGGAGAGAGCGTTGGGAAAGATCTGATGTTCATAAATCTCTCGTCCCGTTCAAATTATATTAAATAAATTAGATAATCGAAGGTCCTTGTAAATCTCTTTTGTTTAAAATATATTGAATAAAAAAACTCGAAGATCCGACATTCATAAATCCTGTTTTGCTCAAGATATATCAAACAAGTGAATGATTCAAAAAGATGTAGATCTCTTTCGTTTAAAATAAATTGGACAAAAGGATCCAAAAGACCAAACATTCGTAAATCCTTTCCTGCTCAAGATACACCAAACAAGCTGGACGACTCAAAGATCGGATCACTCGCTTTTCCAGAACGGACTCCTCTCGCGAATTCCCTCTCTAATTCGCCCACGTTTTCATATCGCGACCATTTTTCCACCTGCCTCCGTCTGCGCGTCTCCGTCCGCCGGACGCATTCCATAAACTCGAATGAGCTTCGCGATACTGCGAAGAAGGAGCTTTACGACTCTCCCCCTCCCACCCCCTTTCTCTCACTATCTCCCCGAGAGCGTTTCGCTCGCGAATCGCGCATTTCTCCCAAGTCGCCGCGTCTCGCGCCGGGAGGATAGATAGGGGAGGAAGCGTAAGACAGGGGGCAAGAGGCGAAAACGCGAAAAGTGCCCTATAAATTTCGCCGTGCAACGGAAGACCGTGGAAAATCGTCGACGATCGATCTGTGGCACTTGCGCCCAAATGGGTATCGCGACACTTGTTGGCGCGTCCCGCGCGGCTCGCACCTCCTCTCCTCTTCCACTTTTACCGTCGGCAGAGATCACATTATCGTTATCATTATCGTGATTATCAATCGGTTCTCTCTCCCCCCCCCCCCTTTGTTCTCTCTCGGAAGGAACAATTGACCGATCTGTCAAGCGGAGAACGCCGACCGGTATCTAAGAGTCGAAATCAAATTGCCGGTCTCTCGGATGCAAAGTACGGCCGATAACTGGATTTTCCCTCGTCCAGCTGGACCGGGGCGGCGCGATTGTGAGGAGCCAGCAGATTGCGTAATCCGACGGATATATCAGGGATATAGGAAGGAGAAAATAGCCCCGCGTCCCATAATATACGTACCGAAGGGGAAATCGATGGGGAGTAAAATTCCACCTCCTCCCCCCTCCGAGTCTCGACTCGGCGAGTACGAATTTCAATAGGATTTTATTTTACAACCGCTCGAAAAGATATTGATCTCCCGGCTTACGTTTCATTTCGACGGCACACGTCCAACGGATTATTACACTTTAAACATCTGACAGCAAAGAAATATCTGTCCCGTCGTCGACGGCGTCCGCTGGATTTTTTCCAGGGTGTACGGAGGGCCTGATTCCAAAATGTTACTTCCAGAATTACTTATAAATTCAAATTTATACACCTTGTGGCGGTAAAAGCTTTCTCACCGCGACAAAGGGGTGTGTCGAGAAAGGGTTTATTTTGCGATTTTTGTATTCTTTATTCTCTTTTTATTTCTTAAGGGGATACTGAAAAAATTCTGCACTTTTTACACTTCTTGCATCTAGAACTGTCAATTCGCGAAAACATTTGTGTAATATACATGTAGAAATTATGTAACTTTTATGTACAGACCGACAGTGTTCCACTATTCGGTCTAAATCAGAGAAGAGCACGGTACCATTGAAATTAAGTTTAGAAGCCTAACAAAAACTCTATTCACTCGAATGTAATCTGTAACCTGTAACTTATTCGAGTGAAACAATTTTTTGTTAGGCTTCCAAACTTAATTTCAATGATACTATGCTGTTCTCTGATTTAGTCCGAATAGTGGAACACTGTCGGTCTGTACGCAAAAACCACATAATTTGTATATTACACAGCATCCCTTAAGGGATTCCGCACTTTTTTGCACCTTTTGCTCCTAGAACTGTCAATTCATGAAAACATTTGTGTAATATACCAATTACGTGGCTGGTTACGTAACCTATGACCTATTCGAATGAATAGACTTTTTGTTAAGTTCCTAAACTTAATTTCAATGATGCCATGCTGTTCTTTCACTTAATCTGAATAGTGGGACACTGTCGGTTCGTACACAAAAGCCACATAATTTGTATATTACACAAATGTTTTCGCGAATTGACAGTTCTAGGAGCAAAAGGCGCCAAAAGTGCAGAATCACTCCAGCATCCCCTTAGGGATTCTGCGAGGCAAAGGTCTCTTTTTTCCCTTCCCCGTGGACACATTATGAAATAGGCGTCGAAGGGACCGTGTTTTGCTCACAGTCACAATCTTAATAATTCATAAATAAAAGCATATCGGTGGAACGTTGACAACCGAAACGTCGCGACGCATGCTCTCTCGAAGCGTACCGTATTACGCGACGGTTCATGTATCTATTGTAGTCGCGTAACAGGATCCGCGGCTTCTTACTGCCGAATGCAAACGCGGAACACCGTGCGCGTTGTGTAAATAAGCCATGCTTACCGACGAGATAGCCGGCCGGGCGTATATGTATACGTATCACCAATCATTCGTCCGTACTAATCAACGTTCGCCTCCCCCTCTCCCCCCCCCCCCCGCTCTTGTGACGTGGCTTAAATTATAGGAGCTCGGATCGCCGTGGCTTCGGGTTGCATTTGAATTGTGTATGAGTAAGCCCGGGTTAATGGTTAAACCCAACACGTGTAGCCGACCGTTCATCCCGCGTACGACCCGGCGATAAACTTTGGCGTCCTACACGCTGTGCCCTATCTCGCGGCATCTCGCGTAAATAATCGTTGCCGGCTAATTGAAAAGGGAGCCCGATTACGATCGACATCCGCGTTAATCCATCGATGATTCGCCGCTCGCGAACATGTTTCGCCTCTGCTCCGAGAGGACGTGCCGAGGACCGGGTTGAAATGATAAACTCGCGCCCGAATCCGATCCGTCGGGGAGGAAAGAAGCGCGTGCGAAATCGATCGCGCGTTGACAAATTCGCGACTCGAGCATTAACGCGATCGAACAGCATTACGGGTGTGACGCACGCGGCTGCCCTTTATTTACGAAACTATCGTGCGAGAGAGGTAATATTTACTCTTCCCTTCGAAGGAAAGAGGATTTCAACCGCGGACAACGCCGCGCCGCTGTTATTCTCGAGAGCCGTCGTAGTGTTGTCCCTCGCCCCTTCCTTATCCGCTGTATTTGGACGAGGGGCGGCTCGCCGGGAGATGAGGCGGCGCGCGACGAGTCTGTTGCGAACACACGAGTTTACACGCCGGTTTACGATACGCGACGTGCGCGTAAAGGCCGAATCAGACTAGCAATTGCCGACTTGGTTTGGGATTGGCGATTGACGATTGTCCTCTAGTCAATGAGAGCCGATCGTTGGCTGCTTCACTCTCAATGGCTAGCTAGAAGACAATTGCCAATCGCCAATCCCAAGAGGAGAGATGACTGTGCTATGCCGACGACGCAGTGCTAATTTCCAAAAAGAAAAACGAGCTCTAAAAACTACTACACCAATTCTATTTAACGGCGGCACGATATATGCAACATGATGATCTCAGTGCCGAAAACAAAATCCCTTGTTATTGCAAGAGAACCCATTAGATGCAAACTAGCCGTAAACGATGAAATCATCGAACATGTCACTCCAATCTGGGAGTGGAGATATCTTCTAACCAGGTCAGGAAGAAAGAGATGCAGGACCAGATCAATAAAGCGGCAAGAATACCTGGATGCCTAAGAGAAACCATATGGCGTAATAAATGTATGAGGAAGGAAGCCAAGGTCGGAATTTACAAAACCTGTGTTCGACCAATCATGACGTATGCGGCAGAAACAAGAGCGGAAACCGAGAAAACCAAGAACATGGCCCGCAGAGATGCGGATTCTCCGAAGACACTCGGAGACAGAGTACCCAACGTGATGATCAGGGAAACCCGCGATGTTTCAGACATCGTCAGATGGGTAAGACAGAGAAGACGTGAATGGAACGATCACGTATTCAGAATGGGGGAAGAGAGAATAGCAAGAACAGCAAGAGATGGGAAACCAACATCCAGAAGACCCCCAGGAAGACCCCCAAAGAGATGGATGGACAGTTGGACATCCGGATCACAAGAGACGAATTAATCGGAAGAAACAGGCTCAAGCCTAATTTAAAGGGGAAGAAGAAGAAGAAGCCAATCCTAATATTCCCAATCCAATCCGCGTCGACAATTGCTAGTCTGATTCGGCCTTAACGCGAACGGTTGGAGAACGATGGATTTTCAGACAATAGAACGGACAATGATGATCACTTTTTCCCGCGGACTCGCTGCCTGCGGTCAGTTGATTCCGAGCCGGTCGTCCCGCGCGTTACGATGAGAGACTCGCGCGGAGCTTTTACGGGAAACGCAGTTATGCGCTGCCCTCGCGAGACAGAGGCACTCCGGAACTTTACAATCGTCCGGTTATACGCGCACAATACGTAAAGTACTCGTAATCTAAAAGGGACCGCGTCGCTCTCTGAGGACGGATAAACCGCGCCTTTCGATCTCCCCGGGATCTACGCTGCCTTTAAACTCCTGCATTACCGGTGAGCGCACGGCCTGGGTATGAAAGTTTCATAACCGAGGGCGCGGCGTACTTCCCGGTCGCTTTAATAAAATATTTTTATTTGTCGTAAAAATAGACGACCCCGGACGCCGCGCCGCCGGGGCTCGCTAATACCGTCGCCTCTCGGAAAAATCTCGAGTCGCGCGGTAAAACTTGCGCGCGGAAAGTTATCTCTCGCGTGCCCGTTTTCCCGCGATTACGAGGGAGCGGATCTCCCTTGCTTCTGCTTCCCTTTTTTTTTTAAATTGAAACCGTCACCCGCGCATAACCAAATGCCCGAATTACGGGTACCCTCTCGAGCGCTCGCGCAAATTCAAATCGGCCGGACGGCGCGCGGCGGCCTCGACCGATTGATCGCGCGACGTCAAGGGGCAAATAATTGATTACGCGCACTTTCGCAACCGGGTCACGATACATCGGGGACGACGGGGAGATTGGGTCGCTCCAACCCCTTTCCGGGTTCCGTGAAAAACCATCAATGATGGACCGCGGCGGCATTGACGTCACGGCGTATCCCCGACCGGCGGGGGGGGTCGAAACGGCGAGCGGTGCAAACGTTAATCCTAATCACACTCGTCTCTCGCGTCGCCGCGGCCGCGCAACGAGTGATCCTCATCAGGACCGGTATAATCTCCTCCACTGTCGGCGGCGCGCGTTACGTTACAGCACGAAGATAGGGTCGAGTTTACCCGCGGGCCGAACTAATAATGGAAAAGCCCGTCCGAGTTAGTAAGATCATTAAACTGGTGCGCCACCCCCCTCCCCCTTGCCGCCTCTCGCCCGATACACCCGGGCGGGACTGGAAGCCTAACTTAACGCGAACTCGTTCAACTGCGCTTAACCTTTCATGACACTTTGACCCCGGATCGCGGTCGCGCGTTTACCCAGTAACAACGCGCCTCTGAACGCACGCGGCCCCGCCGCGCCGCGGAGAGACCCGGCGAGTTATCGGGCTCGCTGCGCTCGCTCGCGGCCAACACCAGCGTAAACCTTGTCGCGAATCTTTTTTCTCCCTCTCTCTCTTTCTCTCGTTCTCTTTCTCTCTTGCAACTGCTCTTTTTTTTCTTCCTTTGTCCATTCCGTACAACAGCCGCGTACCATCGCGGCCGGTTACTCGACCGTGGAAAATCGGAAAAGTGCAATCAAGAGTCGTTGCCACGGGTTGCGAGCGGATCGGGCGCGGGATTTAATCGCAGCTGTGATCCGCGCCAGTAATTACGGTTCATTGACGGACGAGCGACCGCCGTCCGCTTTTGCCTCGATTTCCGATCCGGATCTCGCGTAATCCATCGCCGTTCCACGCTTTTCCGACGGACGTATTCGAAGGGGGGGAATCACGCCGATGTGTCGCGTATATCGTACACGCGCGCTCCCCCATCCCCTCCCCCCCCCCACCCGAACTTTTGTTAGCTTTGCTCACGCAGAGCCTTCGACAAACTGCCGAAAGTTATTTTCGGTATACTGACACAATGAACGATACGTTTATGTACGTACCTTACGCTCGCGGTACTATTAAAACTTGCTAACGCGGCGCTATTAATAATAAGCACGGCTGCGTTCGAGAGAGCGCTGACTTGAGTTTCTCGGGCAACGAAGGTTTTGTTTTAGAACACTGGGTACTTGGCCACCGCGCTATATATGAGATCGTCTTGCAAACTTCGCGATGTTGCACGATAATATCGATTCGACGGTACCTCGCGTGTATTTACGGGAAATTTTAGGTATGGGGCGGGAACGTTATTGGGTCATCCTGTAGATGGTGTAAAAAGGAACTTTATTTATTCAATATCGAAAGACTCTCATTATCCGGGAAAAATTGAAAATAAATCAAGATCAAGACGGGAAGAAGTCGGTAAATAAATAACAGTGGAAAATACATTCTGGATTAGAGTTAAAATGCAAAATTTGCCGTTTTATCTTAAAAATATTTCCAAAGAACCTCGTTGTCTACGAGACGACCTAATATTAGAAGCGCGCGCATGTTTATCGTAGAGGAAAGACCCCTGTTACGAGACAGGCTTCTAATACGAGATAACAGGTTGTCAACTTTCCAAGTTTAATCGTAAATCTGTTTTCGCAACGATCACACGGCCTAACAATGAATTTCCCATTGCACGACGAAACCAACAAATGATGCCTATTAATTTAGCAGAAGCCCTGCTATCTCATAATTAGGAGCTTACGTCATCATTACCAAAGAAATTAAAACATTAAAAAAATTTATGTACCGCTGTAAAATGTACAATATACAATTGATCAACTTGTATCCATTTTTTAACTTATTTATTTAACGTATTTATTGACTACAAAATAGAATGTTTCTAGACGCAAAGAGCACGTTACAGGTTAGGCGTAAATCGTACGCGGCATAAAATTTGAATCGTATTGCACACACCGCGTCACCAATGCCTATCCATCTGAAGTTGCACGCGTATCGAGGCACGTTTGACTCTTCGTGCGTCATTGAAACCGGCATTGCTGATTCGCTGTTTCTATAGTCATGATGCACGAATAGTTAGAAAGTCGCACACTTTTCAAAAAAGCCTCGATCCGCACGCAACTTCAGATGGGTAGGTATTAATGACGCCGTGTGTACAGTGATGGACAGAATGGTTGCGACACTTTTTTTTTAGTAAGTTTAGAAACGCGCATTTGGATTTTCAGGTTTACGTTCCAAAACATTTTCTCTGAAGAAAATTTTACTTGAGAAATAGATCGAAAACACACAAAATGGTTTTGGAATGGCCATCGAGTAAAATATTCCCTGGAGGAGATTTTGAAACGTAATCTAAAAAAAAGTGTCGTAACCATTCTGTCCATCACTGTACACGATAAATTATCCAAGTTTCATTTTCCGATATCGCTACTTTACACCGTGCGCACTCGTCGCAAATGTAAAAGTACCGCGCTGACAATGCGAAATTTGCGGTCGCCGGATAAGTATTTACGCGGCACCGCGTTAAATAACAGGTATATAGACTGGAGTGCCGGGCAATTACGAGCATGGGTTGTTCGTTGCAGCGCTGTGTGTATCCTGTTATACATCGGCGCGTGTGCAACGTACGCGACGCGCGATGCAAGCGCGCGGTTACCGCGGCGAACGTTTCTTGCAAAGTGTACTCCCGCGGCCTTTCAATAAAAGCAAAACGATACGTAAAACGTGGAACAAATTAAAAAGTTAAATTCATTTCCGCGGCACTTAGCACGTTTGACGCCTTTTTGCCTTTCATTAGCTTGGCTCTTTTTTCCCGTCGTATTATCACTCGTCACGTCACGTGCCGCGAGTACCGCTAGTTGTCGCTCCGCTCTTTTTCCTCTTTTTTTTTTGTACGATTATTCCCGCCCGTTATCGTCATTCAAGCGGAGACACGAAACGCGACGGTCGAAACGGCAGATTTTTTCCCGTGTCCGCGCGAGGTGAAAGAGGGGTTGAGAGAGAGAGAGAGAGAGAGAGAGAGAGAGAGAGAGAGAGAGAGAGAGAGAGAGA